TCTATGAAAGTTTTGTTTGGGGAAAAGGGAGGGGGGGGGGGGGAACGACGAAGACAGGGATGGAGATTCTATACTATACGTGAGGGGACTCAAACCACCCAAATTTTTTGTTGGCCTTTTGGCCACAGCAGACATTAATATATCATTTTCCTTATATAACTCCTCCCAAAAAAAAAAAATTTTTTAAATTGTGATAACAATAACTTAATGATGGGGCCGGAGCAAGCTTGGAGGGCTGTATGAGTTGGGGACTCCTGTTATTTTGATACCATTGCATCTGTCATTTATTTAAATACAATTTTTACAAATAATCTTTCGACTGTTTGTAGATTTTCTTTGATCCACATAGCTATGTAATTATAAAGTTAAAATGCTACTTTATTTTAGATCAAACGCTAGTGTATGAGGGACTGCCTTCAAGCCATGTATAGTAAATAAATAGTGGAACCAGCTAGGTTTAGGCTTGCAAATAAGAGACAAGACAATGAAGCAATTAAATGTTGGCTGGATGCCTTCTTCAACAGACAATACAATACAATAAAGGACAGATACATTTAAATTAAAAAATACAAATTGTTTATGAAGATCTCCATAAAGTGAATGTAACTCGATGTTCAGAACAGAAAGGCTTCCTATTCTGAATATCAAGCTACATTGACTTTATCGAGATCTTCTAAGACATAAGTTGTAATTTTTTTAATTCAAATTTATCTATTGTTCATTGTGTTGTATTGTCTGCTGAAGAAGGCATATAGATGAAACTTCCATTTCATTGCCTTGTCTTTTCAAGTCTAAAAATATCTGGTTCCACTATTTATTGATCACAATAAAAAAACATAACTATTCAAGCCAAAAAAAAAAAAATACTTTAAAAAAAAATAAATAAATAATATCATTGTTTTACTGTGTATCTTACTGGCAGACATTAATTTGAAAAGATGGTGCAGATGGTTTTTTGTTTTGTTTTTTTTTTAATAATTTTTTTTTTGTAGTTTCCATTTACAGAAATTGCAATAATCTAAAAATGCTGTTATCCTTAGAAGCTTGCACATTAACTCTGCAGTGTGTTGTGTGCGAGCCTGTCCCATTACAATGTTCTACTGTCACATTAGATGGAGCAACTGATGTTTGCTTGCTTTTGCGTGCATGTATTTTGTAATGTTTAAATTTTTTTATAATGTCATTTTTATTTTTCAACCAATATAATATATGTAGTCTTGTTTCAATAAAATCAAGTATTCTGTCTCTGAACCCCCGACACCAGGGTGGTCATTAGTTTGTACAAGTATATAAGGAAAAAATCAGTGCAAACATTTAGTACAACCATTTGACAAAAACGTGCATTTTATATTCAGATTTAAGCAAAATATCCACCAGGATAAATAGAACCATAGCACATGGGCTTGATTAGATACAACCAAAAAAAAAAGTTAAATTGAACTAATCACCTGTTATTGAAAAATAAAAAAACCCAACTGAAACCACAATGAGAAGTTCAACTTTTAAAATGGCTGTGTCAATATTCATTTATTGTGATCTCAAGCATGTAATTACTTTTTTCCTTTTAAAAAAAAAGGGATGTTAGTAATTTGTAAAAATTCAGTACCCATATTTTTATTATGCAGCATCAACAATCTCATAGTTGTATCATGCTTTCACACACACAAAGATTACTGAAGATTATCACATAAAGAATCAATACTAAGCCTGAGTTAGTTAGCATGAAATATTTAAAATGCTTGGACCAGTGATCCTATTAATTTCCGATGAAATCACAAAGCTGAATATATATATTTCTTTGAAATTGTAAAATCTTGATAATTAGTCATGGGAATTCGTATGTACGGTAGTCAGTTAAATAGATGTTAAAGTATATATAAATGTGATTTTCATGAAAAGAACTCTTATATTTGACCTTGTTACCCATGAGTTAAAAAATGTACATGCAGCACAGAGTATGTGTCCAAAAATTAAGATCAGTTCCTTTTTTTTTTTACAGGGCGGCACCAATATTGAAACATGATCATCAAATTTTGAAATAGCCTTCATGTTTAGTTGTCTCTGATCAGCTGTCACGTTGAAACCCACATTACCTTCAATATGTAGAAGAGTATAATGAAACTTTTCACATTTTCAGCTTAGGATTTTATTTTCAGAATTTTGTAGAAGTCCCTTTGATTATTCTCAGAGCTGTCAATGTACTATGGTGTAGGGTCTAATTATCAGTCATTAAAAATATATCAAATCCTCCTTTGAAATTTGATCAATTTTTTATCTATATTATGCAGTGTGGCATACTTACAGATGGCATGGTTATCGGATGAAAATACATAAAATGTCTCAGACCAATCAAATAAAATCATCTTATTCGTACATTTAATTTTGGCTTGATTCTGGCACTCTCACCCATTTGCCCCATTTCATGATTTCACAGATGGCCTGAGCTCCATTATATGCATGTGTAGTTTTTAAAATAAGCTTTCACTCAAACTCTTTACAAAATCAGTCTCATATTAAAAAACGTTGATTAATTGTAAAATGTTAATTTGAATTTGGAATACAGTTTCATGCAAATGGTTATTAATATGGATCATGAACATTTACAATCAACATTAAGAGTGCCAGGTGGACTTAAATTACTTTTTAAAATACACCGAATTCCCTGTTGTTGGTGTTTTACCTGTTAGCTGTTGGAATTATTTCTTGGCTATCACTACTGAATCCATGCATCTTGATTTAAGATCAACAATGCCTGACTGGTACCAAGATTTGATTATTTATTATGCAGTTCTCGCAAAATCTTTCTCACAAAATATAAAACAAATTACACAATGTGTGTATTAAGTAACAATGAAAAACATTTTTGCTCCCCAACAATTCCTGAATCCCACCGGACCTTGTTTTTTTTCTTCATATAAATGGATTCCCCTTTTAAAAGAAATAATGTGTTTTCGGCTGATGAACTCTGAATGTAGTCATTTCAAAAAAAGAAAATGTTAGGGGACTAAAAAAATTAAAACATATTGGTAAAATCTTGATATTAGGCGATGCAAAAAAGTAAAAAACAATGGCATTAAATGAAACCGTTTTTTTAACTATTTTTATTTCAAAATATTCTTAGATGACCCTTATTTAATGAAGTGTGATGCTTACAATGTCATAAATTTGAACTATTTATTTTTAAGCAGAAGATTTTATTTTACAAAAAAAAAAATGAATGAATTTCTCTAATGCCAAAATGAATTTTTTATTTTTAAAAAAAAATTAACGTAAGTTAAGATTTATCAACAACAGTTGCTTGTTTGACTATTGTAATAATAATAATACATTTTGACTCACACATAATTTATTCTTATAAAAAATTTCAACTTTGATGGAAACATAGAAGAATTTAGTAAATATATTTATTCTGAGGGATTTCCAAATGAGTGAGAGCTCCAAATATTTGTTAAACTAACAAATGGTTTAACAATAATAAATTTGTCATTAAAACTCATGCACTGTGCATCAATACTATAATTATCAATATGCATAATTTTCTAGCTTAAATGTGTGAATTCTTGTTGCTAGTGCCCATATTTGTTGGTCTGTTTGGTCCATGGCTGCACCTGTGCTCTCAAAAATGACATCTTTTCTTTGAACTGGTTAGGTAATTTTTAAAAAAATGTACATTAATGATGTTATTTTTTTAGCAAAAGTAAATATTTGCAATCATAGATGAATATATTGTTAAAGATAGTTGGTTCCTATTTAATTGTTTATAACATGTGCAGGCTTTTCATCAAAATAAATTTAATAATTTAGTCGGTAAGAAACACATGGGAAATATCTTTTTAACAACTCTAATTATCCATCCATAAGCCAAAGCCTACAGCCAACTAGAAGTCAATAAAAGTGTAACTACAAAATAATTTTCAGTTTAATAAACTAAGTAATTTTTTTTTTTGAAAAGAATGTTGGGGTGTGGTGGTGTATATGTGTATATCAAGTAAGTTCAAAATACATTTCAGATATCTCTGGGACAACTTTTGTCCAGCCAGACCAAACAAAAGAAGTCATTCTTGGGACAGTTTTACACATTTTATGTGACATGTACTATGTATTTGTATTTGATATTTCCTTATCGATTTCATATTTGGTGTATGCATAACTGTAATCTTTAATCAATTGGTCTGAGCCCCACTAAAGCGAGAACCAGTAGTGCGTGAGTGTTTGTGTTTATCTCATCATTAATGAACTATTATAAGTTTCTTTAATGACACTGTCCATTCGTCGGCATAAGTGTTTGCGCAGATGCTAATATTGCTTCAATAGGTGATTGCATCAATACTGAACATAACTTGGTACGAGAGTTTTCAATGGGATGTGTGCAATCTTATTATGATTACTATTCATTACAATTACTATTATTATCTAGTCAAAAAAAAAATTGAAATGGTAAGAAACTTTAATTTCAGCATACTTTTCAGTCCAATTGTTTCTATATGTGTAGGTGTTCAACTATTCTTCAATTCACTCCTGCCTGTGGCGCAATGGCCGTGGGTCCATAGGGGCGTCACATAAACCGGTTCGGTGACACCTGGCGCTGGTTGCTCTTCTATTGTGCTCCCTTGAATCTTTACCCTCCTGTGGACCCCGGACTGCACACTACTACTACTATTACTACAACAACATCCGTATCATTTTCAGCAGGAAATAAACTCTCAAACTTTCACAAGCATTGACTTAATCTTCGGTCTTTTTTTATGTCTCTTGTTAATTTTGACTTGAGTTTTGTAGCTAGTTTTTGTCTGACTTAAGAGGTGTTTCTGAATTGATCCATTCACCTTGAATGTGTATCGTTACATGCAACAGCTGTTTATGGTCTCAAATGAATTTAAAATATTTCATTTTTAAATGGTAAGTTCTATTCTAATTAACAAAACATTTTTTAATCGGTCACTTTTTTAAAATTCACACAACTTTAAAAAAATATTTTCCGAAAACAAATAGTTAAAAATAGCTTTGATTCAAGTCATCTTTATTAATCTTTCAAAATTTTAATCAGTTCAAAATAATTCAAATTTATTTTCACTGGGACAGATATATTTTAGATAACCCTCACATTATGTAGGTCAAACTTGCAATAAAATGTATGTCTTACATTGAGCTGGAAACTAAATAAAATAATTGTGCAACTAATAAATTAAAGCCATGAAAGTTATTTTACACAGCCCTTACCAATTAACCTAACTTAGTATAGCAGAATTTTAAATGTTCCCTACCATGAATGTCTGTGGAACATTGAAATCTAGCCCGAATAACGCATACTCGATATTCAGAAATTACTTGAAATAATGAACAACCAATCGACCACCTTTCATCAAATTACAATCAAACCATTGGACTCCAATACCAATAATAACAACAAAATATGATTCAGTTACTTATTTTGTAACTTCATTAACATAAAGACAACAAAAATATTAACCAAAAAAAGTAAACAATAACAAGCAAAAAAAAACCAATAGCAACAGTAAAAAAAATCTAACAATTTGGACTGTGCATAGGACATTATGTTGATCATCATGTAAATAATCAAAATTTGGCCCATATGGGACAAAGCCCTGAAGTATAAAAATATAGCAAGAAAACAATAGGACTGCATTCTTCTTTTACATATTTTTACATAATGGTATTTTAAAAATATTTTTTTTTTGCCTACAGGTCAATAGTTGTGTAGCGTGAATAGTCATTTTTAATTTCAGTAAGAAACAATGTAATCAGCAGTTTAATTCAAAATACATTTATTCACTACACACACAATTGGTCGCACACACAATTAATCGTTCTTACTGAACTAAATTTCGTTCAGTCTTCCTTCTTTATAAAGTGCTTTCAATCTTACATTGTTATAAAAATCTTTACAATTCACACATTTTTACAAGAGTTCTTTTTATAACTTACATTTTTACAAAAACTCATGTAATCTTATTTTGTCACAAAATACCTTTCAATCTTATTTCATTACAAAATTACCGGGTACTTTTAACCCAATTCTTGCATCAACATTTTATATACATTAATTCATTGAATTTATATAAATTGTGTCTTTAAAGACATGTATTTTTAACATCTTTAATTGCCTCATAAGCCAACAACAGGTGCCACCAATATAATACTATTATATTATAGAAGTGGAGGTAGGGGGAGAGAAGAACATGGCATTAGACTGCAGACGCCCTGAACTACAAGGAAAGCTGGGCATCTAACTTTGACACAGATATTTACCAGAAAATTATTTAAACAGGAATTTGAATGACCTCATTATAACTACCAATCCAAACACATTAGAATTATCCAGTTAGTTGATACCTATTACCATTGCCTAGCTAGACGAAACATTTTATTTTTTTTGTCCCTGACTATTATTATACTACTAAAATAATTTCAATATAAGTTTTTAAAAAATCCAAAAGCATAGTCATTACCATTACTAACTGAGAAACCATTTAAAAACATTTTTTTAATGTGTTGAGACCCCATCCGACCCAAGACATTCACATGACCATTCCTGAAACTCTGAAATGAAATGTACCGTACTTGAAGACTAAATTTCAGTTCTCTTGGAAAAACAGAACCACAATTGAGGAATTGATTAAAAAATGTTCAGGATGACAAGGGTCATAAAGGTTTTTGAAATTTCAAATCTAGTAACTTAAACTCGCCATTAAAAAAAACAATATTGATGACATCATTAAACTACACACACCTCACAAAACTGATAGCCAGTTTTTTTAAATACCAAAGCAAAAATGATTTCTGAGATTAAAACATGAATCTTTAGCAAAAAGCATTGATAATCTCCTAAACAGATAAGAGCCAACTATCATTCTTTTAGGAGTGAGGCCAAAAAATGAGACTGAAATGTATGAAAGGCAGATGGGTACAAAACAGGACCACCACAAACTGATAATTTATCAAATGAATTTTGTGAAGGAACTAAACATTTTTTTTTCCTCCCCAAAAATAAATAATTTTTGTGCCTTGCTTTTAAATCCATTCCTATACCTGCCTTTTTTTCAGACCTTTTTCATTTCAAGAGTTCTTATGTGTCAGCCTGTTTGGCTTTCTTCCTTTTGTTCAGAGCATATCTGGCTTGCACTTGCACACGGAGATCAAAATTAGCTGTCTGAAGTAATGATGACTAAACAACCAAGAAGACCAAGTTAAATAAGTAGAAGATGTCAGCTCCTAGGACGGGGAACTTTGAATCTTCTTCTGACCCAGCTAATGACTGACGAGAGCGACTTTCTCTGAGGCAAATTAAAGATGTCTTCCTGTCATGGAGCAGGCCGAGGTTTGAGTATAAGTTTACCATTCTGTTGAGTGGTAAATAAGAAAGCCTATTTCAATTTTAACAGCTTATCTATTGAGTAAATCTTTTTAAGTAAATCTGACAATTTTAAGTCCAACAATTTACTGCAAGGGGTTTCTGAAGTTATACATTATATCAAACTTATACTGAAGATATAATACATTAGAAACTCAAATTAAAACTACAAAGCAAAAACATTGCAGCCCCAAAGCTATCCTTATTATTTATTTTTTAAAAACTTCTTTAATTTTATTATCTGTAGTGTGTTACTGATTGTTAAACTTTTTTTTTAAAACATAAGGACTATACAATTAGTGAATTAGTCTTGCCTTTGTTCAATCCTACACAATCAAAAAGTATATGTAAACTAAAATAACACTCAACTAAAACAAAATCCTAAAGAAATGAGAAAATTAATACATGTTATATGACATGAGTAACACTTAATTGTCAAATCAGTTGGACTTACATCATCACAAGACATGTTGTATTCTGAGAGAAATGTTCGACACCTTGATGCAATACTGATCATTTGTTAAGGTATGAAATAATTCGGCATAGTTAGATTATTTAATATCCTTAAAAAATTCCTGACTGAGTACTTCCTGGTAAAAGATTGGGACATGGGGACAAATGCCAGTTGACATCAGTAAATAACCTCACAAGTTTTCATTGTTAGAATTTTGGATAGGAGTTGTGATAGGGTTATACTTATAATGTTGAATAGCCAAAAAGGGCTATCTGATTTTATCTTGGTCCCATGTCCACCACCTGTAAATGCGAAGAAGTCTTTTCAACTTATGCTACACCAAAAAGAAAATTTAGGAACTTCTTGGATGCTGAGATTATTAGGATGATCTCACGTCTCTAGCTTTTAGAAAGCAAATAAATCACAATAATATCACGATTCTCATTTCTTCATACAAACCACTCCCTAGAGTTTTTTCTTTAGTAAAAACCAAGGATACATGGATGCTGCAACCACTCTCTTGTGTATTCCAAACAGGAATAGAAGCAACAACACAGAACAGCTTATTGTGAAGAAAGGATGATTCCATAGCGACTGAGACAAACTAACCTGAGAACACACAAGAAAAAAAAGGTGCCAATGTGCAACACTTCATAAAACAATAAAAAATATATCATGGATGGAAAACTACAAGTACTAAAAGGGCAGGATTTTCAATCATTCATACGTTCCTATCAATAAAGACTATTGTTACCTTTGCGCTGCAAGACTAAGACAGTGCCATCTTCAAACAGCAACAAAATTTAACATTTTTAATATATCTTACCACCCATCTTTAGTAAAAAAAATATAAAAAATAAACTCCTCATAGCACAGGAGCATTAAATAGAATTAAAATTGTTCAGGTAACAGTAAAAGTGCTTAAAAATTGAGTATGAATGTCTATGAAGTAGGGGCTTGAAAAGAATATTTGCAACAATGAAAGCATTAATTTTTAAACATTACAACAGTTTTAAACTGTAAAAGAATAATATTTAAAAATCTCAATATAACATGGAATTTTGAAACCCTTTTATTTTTAGTCACCATATAGCCTAGTGATATTTCATCAGGAATCTCTACTTTTGCCAAAGGTAAACAGGCAGGGCAATAAGTTGAAAGGAATGTGGAAACCTGAAATTTGGAATGCTTTCATTGTTCATGGAAATGGAATTTCTTCAGCCAATATGAGAATAAAGAGAATATAATTTACAAATCTTAAAATGTCAAATTAAGTATCTTATTTCCTATGTTTGCCAAGGGGGCGCTTCTTGGCTAAGTGAAGTGATAAAATTGACTATAATTTTATAAGATTATCTTTTTGTTACTTGTTTTAATTCTAAGAAAACAAATTTAAGCTGGGGTAAACACATTTATTTTATTAATGCCTAAAATGATACAGGATTTAGTGTGGTCACTTTTGTCTAATTTCTCCCCAAAGTCAGGATTAGATCCCTTAAACTGGGTCATTAAACTTAAAAATCTGAGATGATACAAGATGAGTCACCAGATGTGCATAAAACAAAACTAAATATTAAAATCAGGGAAAGGAAATCCTAAAAACAATTCACAAGCTGGCCACTTTCTCTCAGGAGCCAGAATTTGACAATTCAAGAGGTCTAGTCAAAATATATCATCCATTATGGTGACAAAGTATCCTATATTTGTCTATCCCTGATTGAATAATATACTGCAATGCTCATGATCTAGAAATGAGTACTGTGCTGTGTATTAGCGAGCTGAAAACTGGTGACCTAACATGTTGCGAAATTGAGCAAGTGTTGGAACACACAATAACAACTAAGTAAGATAATTGACAATCTTGTAGACCTTGGCAGCAATCATCTAAAAAAAGCAACGTTATGATATTACCTTTGTGAAATTTACATCCGGTGAATAAAAATTACAAAACACAAACATACAGATGTAATTATATTAAATTTAAATTATATTGATAGTTATAGCAGTAAAAATGTAACACAATAGCTAAAAGATTTGAAGTGGTATTACCTGTGAAGTCTCTGGGTCCCACAACCAAGTCCAAGCACCCACAATGGTGCACATTGAGACAAAGAAAAAAATTACTGTGAAGAAGGAAGAAAAATAATTATGTTCAGTAAATATATGTCTGATTTTTTAAAGTTTTTAATACAATAAGATATTGCAAAACACATTTCCAAAGCTCAATTTTTAGATATTGGAGAATTTCAACAAATTTTAATAAAATAAAAATCTTTAGTTTGCATTTCAACTAGCGATTAATTGTATGAACTGTAACTTGAATGACAAGAAATAAAAAGATATTTGATTTTCAAAACTTCTTTTTGCTTATTGTATAGTATAATTCCTTTAACTAAATTGCTGGCAACTTAAATTTAAGAGGTTTCTATTTATTCTCTTGATAAATAAGCCATTGCATTAATAAAAAAATTGGTTGTAAAAAAATAACATCAATGACATTTGTACAAAATTAAGACTCATAAAAAGTAATGTAAAAACTCCAAACAAAAATAACTTGTCATACTTCTCCAAAACCTTGCAGCTGGCTGATGACCACTTATCACTTCAGTAAGTCTTCTCTCAAAAGCCTTGAGATCTGAATAATATGTTGGCACATGAAAATTTATTCTACGCTTCTGGCACTAAAGCACCACATTAAATTGGTAATTTATCTTGTGAGGAAAGATTTGGTTAGCAGTAAAGGTTTTGAAAAAGAGATGTCTCACCCTAAGCACAGTGATAACTTTTTAGGAAATCCCAACACTCAACTTAGGGTGAAGTGTAAATTGTATAGTGATAAATTTCCCGTTCTTCAGAACATTATCCATGTCATAAACGAAATCTGATGAACAATTAAGACTTATATGAAATATTATTATCAAATTATCCATTTAAAAAAATTAAAATTGAACTTACAAGTTTCAAAAGAAATTAAAACAGAAACTCATCCTAATTGATACCTCAAAGATGCACACATTGCTGAAAGTGCTGTCTTTTGATTGGTTGAAATTTCATTGGGATTTCTCATAGTTCTTAAAACATTTTTGTTGCTTGTTACTGGTAATAAATAATGCATCATTGAGACTAAATATTGCATCACTGTTTCCTTTACTTGAAATGTGTTACATGTCTGAGGTACAGAATGGTTTGCTGTGAAATTATTTTGATGGGAACTATATTAATTTAAATTGTAAGTAGAAACCTTAATTAGTAGTTTTTTTAAGAGTTTAAAAAATATTTAATTGCAACATTATTGTGAAAATGCCTTGCTGAGATAATCATTGTTGACCTGTTCTTGTAAATTTATTTTCACTGCTAATTAGCAATTAATGGTTCCGAAAGATTTTCAACTACTTTTATAAATATGTGAATGTTTTTAATGTGCTGAAAATGATAAATTTTTGGTACCGGTATGTAAATACACATTTTTATTATGTTTCTTGGGCAGATTTTAAAAAAAAAGTTAAAGTCTGTAGTAAATTAAAAAAAAATATTTTATTGTTTTCACCCTTGCCTAAAAATTTCTCACATTGAAATGCTTTAAATTTCACTTTACTTGACTTTTATAGTTTTAATATTGCTTAATTTATGTTTTTTTTAAAATTAAGTGAACTAAAATGGACTTTTTGTCACCTTTTCAATATTTTGTAAAATTCCGCTTTGGTTCATTTTTGTTTGAAATAAATTTGTATTTAAATTCTTGTGACAACCCTAAAACAAATTGTATTTGTTATATGTATAACTGGTTGTGTGTGCAAGAGGTTTGAAATTTTTAACTAAGTTATTTTAGAAGAAAGAGGGTATCAAAACTACACTTATGAGTAGTATATGTCATCTAAAACTTCCACCCATAGTCTTATATCCCAGTAAATCGCTCTTTTTATGTTATAAGTATGTTATTTTCAATTGGGCATGACTTAGTTGCCTTGAAACTAAACTCCCTTCACAGATCACATAGTTGCTCCCACTCAATCCTTACTTCTGTACATTAATAAAAAAATGATACAAACAATTGTTTACTGTACCAACAGGGAAGGCAAGAAAGTGAAAGGAGACAAAGGGCAAAGGAATGATGTGACCTAATTGAATGCTTTTATTGGCTGCCTACTCCATACTGGCCCCTAATTTATTTTATGGATTACTGCAGTACACAACTCAAATAACACACAACCAAACAAAAATGTTCACAAGCCAGTTTTTTTTTTCTTCTGTTAAATTTTAAATTATGCACCGGTGTGTTAGACCCAGTAGACAGGTATGGTAAAAAAAAGACTAGCTCTCCAAAAATAAGTCTCTTTCTCATGCTTTATACTATTGCATCCTTTAAGATGTTCATTCTAACTACCTTGTGAATTAGGTCAAGTATGAGAAAGATTAATGAAAGGAGATTCGAGACATCAGGAAAAACAGTCAGTGTCCGCATGTATTAAAAAAACGTGATCACGTCACACCACTACTTCATTCACTTCATTGGCTCCCTGTACAAGCACGGATTTACTACAAACTCTCTGCTCTCTGCCATAACTTTTTCTCGAATTCCTCCCCTTCCTATCTAACCCAACTTCTCTCTGTCTATTCACCCCTTCGACAGCTTCGTTCCTCCGCAGATGTGCATATTCTTTCTGCCCACAAGACTCACACAAAAACATACAGTGAAAGATTGTTCTCTTTCTGTGCCCCCAAACAATGGAATTCTCTTTCATTACACATTTGCAATATACCGACCATCACAGCCTTCAAAACTGCACTCAAACACATCTTTTTAAACTCTTCTATCCTGACTGATTCCCACCTCTGACTGAAAAACGATGCTGCTGTATGTTGTCCATGGCTTGGCATGTAAATAGTTTTAAAGATACATTTGTTTTGTTTTATTTAATAAAAGTATGTTCATTAATTTTTTAAAAGTTTTTGATTATGTTTGTTAAATTGTATGTCAGCGTGTTGAGCCCAGCCCAGGCTGGGGTACCACGCTATATAAAATCACTTATTAAATAATAATAATAATTACTCCCAGTGCCGTGGACAAGTTTTAAAATTGGTGGTTTTGTTCTGATTAAGCCAAGCTCTCTTTAGAGGAATAGTTGAATTTAATTCATTATGAATGAAAGTCTTATGATTTAGAATGCCTAATTAGTCCATAAAGTACTGTGTGATTAAATCTTTTACTTTTAACTTAAACAATACACATAAATCATCTTAAGGATTTAATTTTAATAATTAACTTAATGTTATTACTTTTCTAAAATTCTAATGAAAATAAATGTATCTGTATCATCTTGATTATTAGATTAAAAAACTTTGACCTATAACTAATAAAATAACAAGGAGAAAAAACGAACAAAAATTTGTAATTCTCATACTACTACTGTTACCACACCCGGGTCCGAAGCCATTTTATCTATACGGACCCACTCCGGGTCCAAATAGCACTCTTTTCCTGGTCCCTATACCCGCAGCCAAAAATAATTGTAACAAATATGTTTGGTAAATGCAGAGATTTGGTGCCATGATGTCATTTCGTGATCTTTGTATAGTTTGTGTTTTGGATTCACTCCCCTTATTGTTGTAACTAGAGTTAAATTTTCCTTAATAACTTAATATTACAATATTTTTTAATTAAAAGTAACCAAGGTGGCGACCTTGTGATAAGTCATAGCACCAATTGTCTGAATTTACCATAATTTTCAAACATAATGTGTATATCTTAATCTTACAACAAAATATAAAAATTAATGAAACAATAACAAAACAAATTCTTACTTTGCATTCAATTCATTAAGTTGATAAAAGGTTTTTATTAAACCATAAAATAATTTTTGAAATAAAAATAATTATTTATATAATTATAATTTAATATTAGAAGTAGACTTCCTTACAGTTGAATTAGTTAGTTTTAGTTTGGCTGGGGCTATTCATACCCGGTATCAGAATTGAGAGGTTGGGTTTATCAAAAAATATTAATTGGACCCGGGTCTGAATAGCGATGATGCGTGTCCAGGGGTCCAATTAACGGTGATGCGTATCCAGGGGTCCATTTTAATTTTAACCACCAAATGCATTCAGATGTCATTTGTGGTAGTTTATTAAATTTTAGTTAAAGTCAAATATATAGCTTATATATAAGGGGCATACAAATTCGACAAAAAAAATCATAACTCCAGTTCTATAAAAGATAGAAAGATAAAATTGTTATTGTTATAAAGCCTATGGCTAGCCCTTTAAAATGATGTATCATTCATGGCAATCGGACAATATTTAAATTTTGTGTCAAAGTACCTAGTTAAACTGACTTAAACTGAAGAATTAAGTTTACAAACAAATTTATAGTCCATTCAATTATCTTTCATTCGATACCAAATTTTATCTTACAAACCCAACAATAAAATTTTTAACATTTTTAATTCGAACCTCTCACTTCTGGTAGCCAGCCGGGTCCCAAGCCCAATAATTATATTATAAAATTATAGCTATATAATTATATATACTATATACTATAGTTATAGCCTATGCCTATAGTAGGCAATAGCCACAAGTAACAACATTACTATTTTTATTAAATTCATTACTAAGTCTTACTACTTAGTGACTAACTTAGTCTTGTCTCTTAATCTACTTTGTGATTAAATTACTAATTACTTATTTAATTATATTATTATTATTTATTTGTTAAATTAGTGACTTTCACTTTAATTTTAATTATGGAAGCCGCAACTTTAACTAACTTTCACTGCTTATCCCTTAGTGCAAGTCACATCACATTACAATTATAATCAACAGTAATATGAATATAAAAAAATAGGACGTTGCATTTATTTCTATATAATATCAAATATTAAGTGAATAAAAATTATTTTTTCTAAAATTCACATATCAACGTACCTTCTGTTTGATCAGCCATATTGCTAGGTTCAATGCTATGCAAAAAGTGTATTGGTTGGTTGGTTATTCTTTTTTATATCCAATAATAAGCTTTGAAACAAGCAGTTAGCAAATGCATTCGAAACCGGAAGGCACGATAAACGCTTCCAGCCGCAGAAGAAGCTGAAGTTAAACAGAGCCATCGGCAGTTGATTATTTTTTCAACGGCAGTGTTTATTTGGTAAGAAGAAGAAAGCCCTTAAATATAGTTATTATAAAAGGGGTACCATAAAAGGTTCCTCATTATGAATAGTTATTGTTTTGGGTGAAATCACTTGACTACTAGCTGAAAGCAGATTAAGCGTAAAAAGGTCCACAGAGAGTGTGCACAATCAGAGACGAGTCTTTTAATATCTTTTGTGGCCGCCACGGTCAGTAGCTTTGGCAAGACGAAAATTGATGATCCACCTTTTATATTGAACTTAGTCCTAGGGATAAATCCCATTTATTTATAAAGTGACTGAATAATCATAATGTCATAATATAAGTACGGTATAAGTGGTCTAGGTACTTCAGTTTCAGTCTTTGAGTTATAGTTATAAGTTTATGTAATGTAGTGCAGTTCCCTTCCTCCATATTTAATAAGTTCTGCTGTGATGAGGTCTCTCCAGGGGGTTTGTGGTTTTTCATAGAATTGATTTCTTCTGTAGTTTCTTCCAAAGTTGGGGCGTTTATTATAGGGTCTGGTCCTTCATCATGTGGTGGTTAATAATCTTCATCTTGTCCATTCACCATTGTCAGCATTTTGCATGCCCTCACAAATTATTCAGCGCACCTCTGTAGCAATAATTTATTATTTTTCGTAATTCTCTATTATGGATCTCCCACATTTCAGGGCTGGCTTGGTATCCATTCTTTTCATCTTTTATCTTCAAGTACATTCCTCTGATATTTCCCTCTCTTGATAAGTCTTATATTTCTTTTAGTTAACATTTTTTCCTATTCCCTTCCATAGCCTAACGTTTACTGCATAAAGCTAGTCACTCTAGTTGCTGCTCTCCCACGAGGCTCATGATTTTACATTACCTGCACCTCAGTCTCGATTTTCAATCATATTTCATGTACAACCACAAAAAATGTTAATAAAAATATGCAAATAAGTAATAAACATGATTGGTTTTTCTGGGCCTCAACCTTAATAGCCCTGACACTACCTTCCTGACCCCCTGAGGATGTAGAAAGCACCCCTGGCTTAGAACCCCTGAGTCTGAGGTTTTTTTTTTAATAACTTATGAACTAGTAATAGTAGATGGCTAACTAATCTGTAATCCATGTGAGTTTGCAGCTAATGTCTAAAAATACTTTAATTTTAAAAAATAATATAGTTTTATTCTAAGTTGTGTTTTTATAAGCATAGCCTATATATAGGTGATCAACTCTAATCACAGACATCAACAGATTAAAATTATTTAAGGCCTATACTAGAAAGCTCAGAGGGTAGGGACAGACAAGGATGTTTTTGGGGTGTACATTCTAGCCCAAGAATCTCAAATTTATAATTATTCTTTTGGAAGTGTGATTTTTATTTTAATAATAATAATAATAAAGTTCATTTCAAAAACACGCTTCATCCCCAAAGGCTCGAAGCGTGGTACAAAGTCAACAAAAAACAAATCTATAATTTACCACATTTAAAACAAACGCAACACTACAAAAACTAATTACAAGCATACAATGTCAAAGTCTTTCTAGCCATTTCAACAATAAGCAATACAGCCATTATGCATTAACTGGAAAATAACGTAGACAATCATCCCAGAAGGTGTTTGCGAAATAGATGTGTCTTTAAATCGGTTTTAAAGGACTCCAGTGTCTGCTTGTTTCTGAGATCGACAGGAAGGGCGTTCCAAATTGTTGGACCAGCAAATGCGAAAGTGCGCTTTGCGTAAGTCTCAAGGCATGCACGTGGTGTCGAGAGTTTGCCACTATTGGATGAGCGAGCTCTCTAGTGGGTACATAAGGCGTCAGCAGCTCTTTCAGACAGGACGGCGCCAAGTCATGTAAGCAGCGGTAGCACAAAGTTGCAATTTTGTTCTCTATGCGAGCACGCACCGGCATCCAGTGCAACTCTCTCTGCAAGTGTTTTTGCATGGTCGAACTTGCGTTTGCGGAAAAAAATGCGAGCCGGATTATTCTGTGCTATTTGAATTGTATCCAGGAGTGTAGCTGGAAGACCCACCATGAGAGCATTGCAATAGTCCATGCGTGATAGCACAAATGCAGACATCAGCCTCTTTGTTGCATCAATTGTTAGGAAGGGCCTGATGTGACCTATCCTGCGCAGCTCCAGATAAATCGCCTTGCATAGCATGTTAATATGACTTTCAAAAGTTAGTCTTCTATCTAGGTAGACACCCAGGTACCGCACTGTTTGAGCTAACTCAATACGCACACCTGAGAGAGTAATGGATGTCGTGTTATTTGCAGATTTTTGCTTCTGAGCGGTCGCGATGGGGAGCAGCTCAGTCTTATCATCATTTAATTTGAGCTTGTTTATGGTCATCCAGTGCTTAACCGACTCCATTGTCTTCTGTGTCATACTGAGCAGCTGAGGGAACTGAGAAGGGATCACGGATTGATGAAGTTGTGTATCGTCCGCGAACATGTGATACAACATGTCAAACTGCCTGATCTCTGCACCCAGGGGCTGAATGTACATTGTGAAAAGCACCGGGCCTAGGACCGAGCCCTGGGGTACTCCTAATTCAATATTAGATTTCTTCGAGGTCAAGCCGTTTGAAATAACTGACTGCACCCGATTCGTCAGATACGATCGGAACCAACACAGGATGGTATCAGTGAGACCGAAAGTTTATTGCAAGACGCTGGAGCAGTATGCCGTGGTCGAGCGTATCGAAAGCTGCCGATAAATCGAGTAAAGACAAAATCGATACCTTGCCCTCATCACAAAACAACAGAAGGTCGTTTACGACGCGCAACAGGGCTGTCTCAGTAGAGTGATGCGCCCTGTATGCTGACTGGAATGGTTCAAACAAGTCAAACTAAATGAGGTGATCCAGGAGTTGGCGGAGAACGACTTTTTCTAAGATTTTAGAAATAAATGGTAGATTTGAGATGGGGCGATAATTTTACATCACATTTGGGTCAAGATTTGATTTCTTTAATAGTGGAGTGACAATCGCCTCTTTAAAAGATGATGGAACAATATCAGTAGCTAAGGACTGATTTATGATATAAGTGATGATGGGGACTATTTCATCCAGACATTCATACAAGAGCCCTGCTGGAAGAGGGTCAAGCGAACATGACTTTCTTGGGGTACCAGAGAGGATTTTCCTCACATTCATAATGAAAAAAAGAATAGGCCTAAAAAAATTCGAAGTCATTTACGCAAATATTTGAATTTTCATCTTTTAAGTTTATTTTTGGATGACTTCGGTCTACAAGGTTACAAGAAAAAACACTAAAAATTGATATAATTGGTTTAAAATCTACACCTGATGACTAAGTAGACCCCCCCAATCAAAAGTTCCTGAAGTTAATTAACTTTAAAAGAAATTATGTAAATCTTATTCAGTGAGTAAACCAAAATTCATATATTTCTCTGGAATGCTTATAATTATAAAAGAAGTCACATTTACTTGTAAATGTATGTCATAGAGCCTCTAAAGAAACAATTATAATTAAAATTGTTACCGTTTTTCGGAATTACATTTTTTGAAATCGAATCTTTTAGAATGGTGAGTTTTGTATCAAATTTTCGGCTCAATTCTGTCTTTCTATTTGAGATTTTTATTTGGATAATCCATTATCGTGTTCTGGATATAGAAAGGTAAGGTTCCTTGTCCATAGTTTTGAACAGAAATATCAATATGTTTTTATTATAAAAAATCCTATGATTTATAAAATTTTCTTCCCTTAATATATGGAAAATTTAGTTGTAACTTAAAATGTTAAAGCAGGTTAGCGATTGCATTGGTAAGCCAAAAATTAGATCAATTCAAAGTGACACATTTAATAATAATTATAAAATGTTACTTGTGTGTAATTTATTTTACTGAACATTATATTTGGTTGCCATTTGAATTTTTTTTTTAAGGTGCCCAGTTTTTATCGGGGACCTCCTAAATTCTATACATGAATTGTGTATTTGTAAAATTATAAAACTGGATCTTGGAAAATTTTCTAGAAATTGAAAAATCTTTATTTACCATATAATCTCAACTTACATTGGTCTTTATAAAAGATTGATGCTAGATTTTAGAATGTATTCACTTTTAGCTATAAATTAGTGTATTTGTCTCAAATTGTTCATTTACTTTTTAAAAAAGAAAAAGAAAGCAGCATGAAATTTTATGTCAGCTTCTTCTGGGTTTGATTTTTGTTTAGTCTAAATATTTCTTAAAATGTTTACATCTTTAAAATATACATGGTAAAATGTTGATAAAAGACACAAAAGGTATGTATTGACTATTTTTTTGAGACAAGTAATCATGTGTGTACTTGCTAAAAATAACATCTTAAGAATGATAATTTGTACCAAATGAAAGAAATAGTTTTCAGTGGTCACATTATTGTACATTGCAAATGTAAACCTGGAGGCATTGTATAATGTATTTTTGGCAATGTTTCACTATTTTATCTTAGTATATGCTGTCAGTAGTAGTAAAAACTATGTTTTTTGGCCAAGGCTTAATAACATTTCTTTCTTTGCTACCATGAATGCAGCATGACTTAAAACATTTCATGTTGAAACACAGAAAAATTGTGAGAAATACATAATACTACTTAATATTCTGGTAATTTCATCCACATATATCTATATTATTTAATTTTATTGTTTACAAATAATTTTTAATTTTGCATTAAAATTAAAGATGTTGAATACTTTCTAGGAACAAAAAGCTTTATAGCTTCTGTCATTTTTAGCCATAGAATTTTGGTTCTTATTGGTTCTCAATAAAAAAAATTCAAAGCAATATGGGATTGGAGCCCCTTGATAGGTGTCAGTAAAAATAATCATTTTTGATGCTTTGAGGTTTTGTTTCTTACATATATAAAAAAAATTGACTTCTAATGCTTTTTTGTGTTAATGACCTCTTTATTCATAATTTACTCTTTTAGATGGTTATTTGAAAAAAGATGAGCCTACCCTGGCTAACTGAGGATTTTAAGCATTCTTCTAAATCAAGGTCAAGATCTGGTTCAAAATCTCCAGGAAGAAAACCCAGAGTCGATGAATTTGGAAGAACCTTGCCTGCAAGATCAAGAAGTTCAAGTCGCAGCCGGAGTCGAAGTCGTGGGAAAAAAATGGATTCTGATTCTCGCCAGGGTCGTGAACAAAGTGCTGGCAGAGCTCGGCGAAATTTTAATAGAGGAAGTAGGGAAAGAAGTAGGGAAAGAGGCAAAAGAGATCCAGGAAGACACAGAAAGCGAGGTGATAGCAGCAGTAGCAGTAGCAGCTCTGACAGTAGCTCTGAATTTCCACCCGCTACTCGTTTGGTAGCAAGTAATAAACCTAAATATTTAAACTCTCGTTTATTTGTTGCTAACATCGTTTCTAAAGAAGTATCCAAAGAAGAGCTTACAAGGCACTTTGAGAAATATGGAAATGTTGTTGGTGAGTGGTCATTACCTTTATTTTTAAAAATTTTAGTTTAAACTGGAACCATCCTGCACAAACACTTCATTCTAATCCGAATTTATGAAGTATTCCTTTTTAAAATTTTCTTTGGTCTTAATAAATAAGATTGGATATATATATATATTAATATTAGAGTACAGTTGTGCATTATTCTAAACCAATTTATTTTTTATTTCAGATGTTTTGGTGCACCCCAAAAATTATGCATTTATTCAGTATTTAAGAGAAGAACATGCAAGGCTTGCAGTTGAGGGTGAGCAAGGGAGCACTATGAAGGGATGGAGGCTCGGTAAGTTGTTATGTTTTGTTTTTTTGTAAGGGGGATGATGGAATATAATTTATTTCAATATTAATATTCATTTTATATTTTAATTAACATAATTTTAAGTATCATAATATTTACTAGGAAAATGCAGGTTTGTATACAAATATGTAATGTTCCTTCATATTCCTAATCAGATCTATTTTCTTTCTTCAAATGAGAAATGAATACTTGAAGTTTATTCTGGATAAAATAGCTTTTTTTGTTCCAATTGATTCTGTAAAAAATATGGGTTTTCTCTATCATTATTTTTGACATGCTTTTAGTTAAAGGAGCGTTAAAGGTAAAAGGGTTTGGTTTATAGAAAATAGTTTAAAAGAAATCTTAAACTGTCAAAATATAAATATGATATTTTAAAAAAAATTATTAAAAAATATTTGGGAATGATTGGAAAAGTTGCATAAAACAAGTACGCTGGTGTCAGTACAGTTCAGAGCCTAAAAATTCAGGGCAACATAAATGATTTGGAATCATACAATTTAATGCAAAATTAACAAAGAGTTTTATGTCAATTTTTTCATTCTTATTTCAAAGTTAAATTTTTTAAAGTTCATCTGTGAAATGTTGGTGAAATCTTTTGAAATTATAATTATTTCATTTAAATTAGAGACACAATTATGGACTTATACTATCTTTATAGTAGTGTTTTAATGAAATAAACAAATCACATGAGTACACAATATCTTTGGCAACATAGTTTATCTATATTTTAAAAAAATGACCAACTTAAAGACCTAAAAGCACAAGTACGCTCTGAACCTAAATGAAATCTATCACGTGCTTAAATATAATGGACATGTAAACAATAATGTTGAGAAAAATATGTCAGCCCATACAAGATGAGGAAAATGGGGGATATGCACCCATCTAGAACTCTATTGATAGCAGCAATTTTACAGAGTAAGACCACCAGGTGACAGGGGTAAAGGTAGTGTACTACAAGAAACTGTTGACATGACTGATGTAGATTGATGATATGAAAGCAAATGTGTATTGGTTGGGGGCTGTCTTTTTTGCAATAACAGTGCAGTGAAACTGTATGATGGAGACACAGGCAATGGCTTTCTTTGGACTGTAGCTCAAATATTGATTGATTGATACAAACAAAAATACATGGATACATAGACCATACATTAGTAAAAACTTTTTTAAAAAACAACCGCAAAGTGTCGCAACAGATTTCACAGATAAAATTGGCTTTTACTGTGATGAAAATTATGAATGGGATCCCAAGTTAGTCCAAGAAGGGAGGGGGTGTAAACTCATACTGTAGCTTTATTTCCTTCATATTGAAAAACAAAGTGAAAAATTATAGTTTTAGTTTATATTTTTCAACAGTATCATGTATATTTAAAGTGCAGTGATGTAGAAATGAGGTGTTACATCAGTTAAGGGTCTCATGCTAGAAGCAGATGCTCATTTGCACATGCTGTTTTTTTTTATGAAAGAATGAACTGTTTTGTCTTTAATGACAAGGGATAAAAGGTAAAAAACAGTAACTTGCCATTATTGTCCAATGTCAAAGTTGTGTGTCCTGAACCTTATACACAGGACAGTAAAGGACTAAATAGATCAAGAAAATATTTTATGTCATAAAACATCACAATAAAATTTTAAAATACAAGTTAATGCTTGATTTTTCTATTTCAATTTAAATATTAGAAAATTAAGACTTTTTAAATACACTGTTGAAACTTGTCTGTCTAGGCTCTTCATTATTTTAGACATATCAAAAATGAACTGACTATTAAGTGAAAAAATAAGTCATTCGCGTCTGCTTATGCAATAAATAGATGAACTTAAATAAAATTATGTATGTTTATCTCCTCTCTTTCTGTATTATATATACAAAATGTTGTCTAAAAGTTTGAATTAGGTGTTCCAGATGAACTGATTTTTAAGATCTACTGGTCAAATACATCCTTTCCACAATGACTATCATTTTTATTCTAATACCCTCCCAAAACCAATGTGACTTTGTCACTTAATCCCTCATGGAATTTGCACCATGGGTGTCTTACTACAGAACAGATCTTTCCTGTCTGTGACTAACAGTAACAGTAAAGAGAATGATGTTGTTTTTTCTTCATTCTATTTTCTAAAAACCCAAATACCGGTAATTAAATATTTTCTGAAAGAATATTGTTTTTTATGTCTGAAAAAAATGTATAAAAAATAAGAAATCAATCAGTGTGAGAGTGTGTTAAAGGCAAAGAAGCAGTTAGACCGCAGATTTATTACAGCATTTTGCACCAACTTTTGATATTTAAAAAAATCTTATTTAACACAGTATCAGAAATTTTTATTTTTCACACTATTGAACAAACCATTATACCATACTTTCTTTTAGGCATAGAGAATTAAATTAATTGAATAGATGTATCCCAGTTGTTTTCAGCCCTCGCTCTGAATTGTCTTAATCTGATTTATTCTAGTCACAGTTAGTCCATCTGTGTCCTGTCCTGACTGCCTAGGCCTTATGTAGCCAGGTATTAAAATATTGCAAAATGTTACTGTGATTGGGAAATGGACCCTGACTGGAAAAATTTCCTTTGGAGAGCAATGTACATTCAGCTTAAAACTTGGTTCTCCTTTTTATAAAGAGCTAGTTTTACCTTTTATGTCTGATAAAAATAAATTAAACGAGCTCCTTACTATGATAAACCGAGAGCAAACAAAGCAGTTGAAGGAATACATACCAAACTATATACTATTTTATTTTAATCATTGATTCAACTGGATATATTTTAATAAGTATCGGCCCTAGAGACTTTAGCTGCCTCCTAATTAGATTTGGTAAATACTTTTCACCAAATTCTACTTCTGACATCAAGGGTGATCAACACATGGCTTCGTGTGCCAATAGAGGCATGTCAAGTTTTTTTTTCTGGCATGGTAAATCCAGGAATTAACTTAAAAAACAATGATATATAAATAAATACACAACTTTTACGCTTAGTTAAAGCATTTATTTGAACTTATAAGAATTTAGAAATTGTATTGATGGGACCTAAGCCAAGTCAAACAATGATTAAATTGTGGTGTTAAGAGAAGCTGGCAATGATTAATCTGATGTAATATAAAAGCTTCAATATTATGTTCCTCAAAATTTTTAAAGCCCATTTGAAAAAGAGTATTAAAGATTTGGCTTCTTTGGGATGAGCCCTTAAAATAGCACCCAACTTCAAATTAGATAAATTTAAATGAAATGAAACAAACATAAAAAATGCTTTGATGTATGCTTGAACTATTTTAGTAAGCTGCTAAGTTTTAGGCTAATGACTTGAATTTATTTTTGTGCCATTCATTTATGTACATTTTGACTAATGCACAAATGTGCATAATGTTGAATAACAGATTATGTTCCTGTTGGTACTAGCAGTCAAACACAACAATAAAAATAGAATACTCCATACTAGAAAAAACTTCAAATATTATTTTAAATTTAATTAATGTTAACGTTGGCCATGTCAGAAGCTGTAGAGGTCATGGTTAAATTAAGTCGTTGTTACCAAGTATGTTTTATTGTGAATATATTTTGTAGCATATTTTTTTTTTATGTCCATTTCAAAAAGTTAAGATAGTCTTCTTGTTTTGATGTGTGATCATGAAATATTTTTACATGTATTCCTAGTTTTATTTTTGACTTTGTGTGTAAATTGTTTTCTAAATAAATTTTGTCAACCAGATTCCCTTGTTGAGGTTAATTATTTCATAAATCTTTCAACTTTTTATTAAGGATACCTTGTGTTTACACTTTACTTAGTGGTCTCAGAGAGTGCTGAATATTTTTCTTTAATAGATGTGAAAATGGCCAGTGAAGGCCGTAAAGGAGTTGGTGGTGGTGGCAGCAGTGGTGGCTTTGTTAGAATGGGACGAGGGGGTGAACGTGGAGGAAGAGGGTAAGTTTTAATTTCATTCTTTGTGTTAATGATTCATTGCCATTAGTGTTGTTACTTGATCAATTGTCTATTATATTTTTTTTCCCCATTTGTCTGACAATTTTTGTTTGAAATTCTGGAATGCAGTTGAACCCAGTTATGTCAACGGCCTAGGGGTTGCCAAAAAGCGTCGATAACTGATGATCGAAATAAAGGAAAACCAATATGGTGGCAATATGTTAACTTGCTTGAATTTATTTATGTACATGATGTGCGTTAATAAATGAGAATGTACATGCTCATGTTTCTGGAGTTTTTTTTTTACTCAACAGCGTTGCTGCGATTTGTTTGAAGCTATCAGGATGCTATAAAAATGTACATACATGTTTGCTAACAACAAAAGGCATATAAGAAATGATAAGATTCTTTTATTGATCCAAACAAATGGAAATGTTTTATGATTGCATAGTACATTTTCAGCACATAAATAAAAAAAATTTGAACACAAACATTTACTGTATATTTATAAATTAATTCACAGCCATTCACTGAGTTCTCTTAGCCATATCAGGCTCTTATTAGTTCTCATTAAGATTTGTGACTTCAGGGGGAGCATGCTGGTAAATTCGTACAGATTGAAGAACAAAAGAATTTTTATATCTTTCAGTCCTCGCCCTGACAGAAAGAATTCATTCCAAACTGGCAATCCTAAGTATCTGTGATGAAGAGGGTGAGATGTATCATCCAAAATGTGTTAAGTTTTACAATAAAATCTTTCTTCAAATAGTTCTTCAAGTGAAGGATGTTTGGTTAGTGTTATGTTTTTGGTTAGTGTTATGTTTCTAGCTTTCTTGATTAGTCAGTTTATGCAGTGTCTAATATCAGACGTTGCATTCCCTTACCAGCAGGTAATACTGAAATTAAGCAGGCTTCCAATTGTTGCACTGTAGAATAAGTTAAAGACTTTTTTGTTTATGCCGAAATTGAAAGAAATTGAACAGTTTTTTGAGGTAGAACAGTCTTTGGTTACCTTTCTTATACACCATTTGGCCATGCTCATGCCATGTTAGCTTATTATTAATGGTGACACCCAGGTACTTATATGCCCCTTCTTTCTCTACACTTTGATTTTTTTTATGTTGAGATCTGTAATCTGGTGTTTTCCCTCTCCTGAAATCAACAACCATTTCCTTTGTTTTTGAGACATTCAGCTGGAGAAAACATCGCACCAATTGATAAAGCTTGTAACTAAGTTGCAGTATAAGCCTTCTCCTTCAGATATGAAGCCAGCGGTGGTGATATCATCAGCAAATTTTAAGATTGGAACAGTGTCGCTTGAGCTTTGAATATCATTGATATATATTGTATACAGTACATGGGAGAGAACGCAGCCTTGTGCTTCCCCGGTGCTTATTTCTCTGGTTAGAGATAATTGGTCATTTACCTTGACATATTGTGGTCGATTTGTCAAAAAGTTCAGTATCCAAGCTTGAATATTTAAATTGACCCCTAACGAGGAAAGTTTCTTTATCATAAGGTGTGGTTGGATAGTGCTAAATGCTGATGAGAAGTCTATTTTTAGGACTGTCTCAGTGATGGTAAAAATGCTTTGTTATTTGTTGCTTTTTGCCCTTAACAGTCTGTTTGAAAACAAATGCTTCAATATTAATTATGCTGTCTCAAACAGTTTCATCTCCTACAAAAGCACCATACTGTCAAATTGTCTGTAGTATTTCTACCACCTCACCAGCTGAGGGAATTGGTTTCAAATCTTTGTCTGCATTTTCTTCATCTTCTTTGTCATTGCCACATGGACCATTGACGGGAAGGTTTGTTGCTTGCATATTTGTGAACATTTGAAATACTGCTTTGTCAACATCTTTGTGTTCAGCCCTCTAAGGCTTTTCTTGCTGGGTCAAAGACAGACTTCTCGTACATTTGCTTTATCACGTCAGCCTTCTTTTTCCATCCTGCAATGGTGTTTGATGGAATGCCATGCTGACGACTAAGGTCTACAGGTTTCATTCCTTTTTCTAGCTGCAGTATGATTTCATACTTTTTCTCTATTTAGTGATTTTTCCAGTTTCCTCTTACTCTTAACGCCTCCAGACATTTTTAGAAGGAAAAATGCGTTATCACTCAGAAAAGATCAACAAGAGTGAGTAAACTGTCATTAGAGTGAACCACCTTACGGACCGTGATACATGTGCTACGTGAACTCAGCGCATGCGCAGTGAACCAAGTACGATCATTTTATTGGTTAGTCCAAAGCTAGCCAGCATAAACGTAACCAACCGCAAGAGGTAAAGTAGAAAATTAAAAAACCAAAAGACTGTTTTTGCAAAATAGGAACTCCATTCCCACGAAAGAAACTTCCACCTGGCAATAGTGGACTGTATATATTACTGTAGCAACACCCAATATAAGGATGCTTTCTCTCCTGTATTTTGAGAAATAAATAGTTATTTTTAATTATGAAAAACTTGTTTTTTTTGTTGTTTGCTATTTCTTCTTGCAAAGTTCAAAAGCCAGCAATTGGTCATGGGCCCCCTTTTGTGCTTGAGATATTAGGGTTCAGCGACATAAAAGAATCGACATAACCGATGAGAAAATGCTAAGACAAAGAGAAAATTAGGCGGTTCCACTTCAAAAACATCGACTTAATAGATTAATAGGGTTGGCGAGTTAACCAAGGTCGAGATTAAGTGGGTTCAACTGTATATATGTTGATTCTTATAAATATATTGTCAACGAATAATTGAATCAGAAACTCTTTGTACAATTTTGTATCAATCAAGTTCCATATAAATGTAAATATTGTGCTTTGCTTTGCCAGGGGACGTTACAACAGTTCAGATCGAGACAGGTCACCACTACGCAATGATCCTTACATGAACCCTTATAGAGGTGGTGGTCCCAGATCACCTGGACCATACCCACCTCCTCTGGGGTAAGAAATTTGTTTGTTTTTTTTCAAAATATTGTCACATTTGATAACATTTAACCCCGATTGCATTAATTGCTTTCTTGGAAGGGATGCTAAAGGGCCAACCAATACTGAACAAAAGATGTGATAATTACCATGAAAAAATAATAAAACCCCAGGAATAGACAGTATCGTATCACTGCAGAACTGATACAACTAGGCAGAAATGAACTGCATAGGCAAATACATTACCTTATAAATAGAATCTGGTAGGAGTGAGAAATGACAAACCAATGGCTTACCGGTACAGCACTCATAATCCCAATTCAAAAGAAAGGATCTTTGCTGGATTGCTCAAATTATAGAGGACTCTCCCTACTTAATGTAACTTACAATATCCTCACTAAACTAACAGCAAGAAAATAGGACTGGTATAGTGAACCGATCCTATAGGCTATAAATGTGGAATCCACCAAAATAGATCTATCATAGCATTACTATCAGAAGTTTCCTTGAGAAATGCTATAAATACATTAATATACACTAAATATATGTGGACTACAACTCAGCTTATGATAGCGTAGATAGGAACTATCTGTGTGATGCTCTACAGGAAGTACAGGAACTTGTCCATAACAAACTTAGCCGGCTTATGCATAGGATGATGGCGGACTCCAAAAGTAGAATCTAAGTACAGGGAGAGTTCTTGAGCGAGTTTCTGATTAATCAGGGTCTGAGACACCGTAAATGAAGCAATGAAAAAGTGTATGTCAATGTCATGAAACATGCATATTGGTGGCAACATTAAATTAAGCAACCACGCTTTCGAGAGAGGGGCTAATTTAAATATCTAGTAGCTACTATAGATGACCACAATGAAATTTTATTGGAGATTAAAGAAAGCAGCCAACCGCTCTTATTTCAGCCTACAAAAGCCTTTTGAGGAAATCAAGGAAGGTATTAAATATACACTACTATTATAAAACCAGTTGTAATTTACGCAAGTTAGACTAGGTCCCTTACTAGAAATGTAGAGAACCTGCTCAACAGTCACTCAGGACACTTTTTAAAATATATTACCAGTAATTTAAAAAATGTATAAATTTTCTTTGGCATGAACATCAAAGCCTTGTAATATGCATCGTTTATTTTGTAAATGGCGCACAATGCCATTATCATGAGTCATTGGTTTGATTAAATTATTAATAAAGTAACAGGGACTACAAACACCATTGCAACCATTTATCTTGCAGAGACTTTGGTCCATACTACCCAGATCCCTTCAGGAGAGGCTTCCCAGACCCTTGGTTACCTCCGGATGATCCATTCAGGTATGGGACCAAGTTAACTATTTCAACTAATTATTATTGTGTGTTTTAAATTGTTACATAATAAATATAGCTTTGGTATTTTTAAAGATCTAAATGGTTATTGTGTAGTGTACTGTACCACATTAGTGTTGTGATCGTTTGTGGAAAAACCAACAGAATTAAATGGACCCTTTGAGTCTATCGCTACCAAAAAATCATACCTTAATTAAAACAAAAACAAATCCTTATGTAAGGAAATCTCAGTATTAACAACCAACACCCTAAGGATTTTTAGACCTAACCGAGTGAAATACAAGTTTAAAAATGTTACAGTAAAAAAAAAAAACTCTTGTATCTCAGACGAGACCCATACCTGGATCCGTACAGAGATCCTTATGCTGTAAGACCCTTGCCACCACCGCCACCTGTCATTGAATGCGAAGTATTTTTAGTCAATTCTCAACTAAGGTAGGTTGAATTAAAAATATTCATTTATATATTTTTTTTTAAGAATTGAAAATAGGGTTAAATTATCTTAATCCTTTTTATGTACTTTAACTAAATTGGGCAATTTGAGCAAAATATGAAATATGAATATTCAGAACATGTGCGCTGCATGTATACTTTTTTTCTAAACCCTTAACAACCGCTTTCAACATTTAGAAAGAAATAGAGAAGTTATTTTTTCATGTTACTTTTAGACATTTCTCTCTTTTTAAAGTTAATGGGGCATATTACCGCCAGTTGCGACTAATGATAAAATTTCTTTTTGAAGACATTGTTTTGTTTAAATAAATAGTTTGTTAAAAAAAAAGAATTGACGAAAAATTGAGTGTGAACTGAGCTTAACTCTTTACATTCCGCGAATTTTTCTTTTTTTTTCTCGAGATTTCTAGTGATTTTACAAGAGTGAATAACTTTTAGAATCCAATCTAAATCTAAAATTCATGTTATATATAACAGTCTTTGGTTGAATTTCTTATACACCATTTGGCCGTGCTCATGCCATGTTAGCTTATTATTAATGGTGACACCTAAGTACTTGTATGCCTCTACTTTCTCTACACTTTGATTTTTTATGTTGAGATCTGTAATCTTGTTTTTCCCCCTCCTGAAATCAAAAATCATTTCCTTTGTTTTATAGCACACTGTAGACTGTCTTTTTTAAATCTGTGCATTCCTAATTTATAGCAAACTGTAGAATTTGTTTTTAAATCTGTGCATCCTTAATATATAATTTATAGCACATTGCACAATTTCTTTTTAAGTCTGTACATTCAGGAACTATTTGATGTATTTGATTGTATTTTGTTTTATTTAAATTTGAGTCACTTGAAGCATCATCTTATACTCAAATAATTTCATCTGTGAAGTCATTTGAGAGTTAAATATTTGGATGGCTTTAGTTCATCTATACCAGCTGTTCTCAATCTGTGGGTCGTGCCCCCTTTGGGGTCGCACAACCCTTTCCGAGGGGGTCACCTAAGACCTTCTGAAAACACATATGCTCTACATTTATGAAGTAGCAACGAAAATAATTATGTGGTTGGGGGTCGTCATAACATGAGGAACTGTATTAAAGGGTCGCAGCATTAGGAATGTTGAGAACCACTGATCTATACCATAATTTTCTTTTCAACAATCCGAGGAGATTATAGCTGGCAATATCGACAAAATGGAAAAAAGGGTTTGTCCAGTGCTGCTCTCTTTACTGGTCAACACCACACTCACACATGAATGAATTGTATGATTTCAAAATTGCATGGTGCCATAAATGGTTCACACTGCCCACTGTAGTCATTTTTGACACCCTTAGTACCGGTACCCCAGCTTCAAACTGGATTACTCTGACCTGAAGACTCATCTGTCATATTATCATCATCCTACAAAGCGGCGTCATCATCTTGCGGCGCTCACCTATTTATTCCATTAAACTTGATGGTGAGGGCATGGACAGTTTTACCAAACACATCATTACTTTTGGTTTCCCAATTCATCTTTTCCAATACAGTAAGAAATTATATCAGATATCCAGCACCTCCCCTGTACAAGCAACAGAAGGAAGGAGAAGATGGTATGTCACCCCATGTTCCAGAATGGGTGCACTGCTGATGTGCTTAAAACATAAATTACTGTTACCTGTTTAGCCAACCCACTCCTTTTCCATGTTACAACTTCTGTGCTCTCACGTGATTACCAAACAATACTGAATCAATGAATGTTGTTAAATGTTGTTGAATATATTTTCACCCTAACATGTTTTTTTTTTTTACAAATCATAGAAATTTCTCAAACTCTGGTGGGCCGCAGATTAAACAGCACTGCTGCAAGCCACAATTCTCTGATTATTAACTTAAATTTTAAGTTAAAATATATATATTTTCTAACTTTTATCTGCCCTGCACACTGCAGTATCCTTGAAAATGTTGGACCCTTGGGCCATGGCTAGTTCTGGCTAAGTTGAAGGCTTACAATTTTGTACAAAATTTAATTCATTAAGAGCTTTTTGAGATTGTCTTAGACACATTCTCAAACCTTAGGAACCAAACTAAGGACTATATCCAGTATATTTATTCGTGTAAATATTTGATGTATTAAAATAACTTATTGTTCATGCATTTGTGTTGCCAATAATTGAAATATAAGAAGTCGTGTGGATTTTCTGACACATGTTGCATTTTGATTTCAAACACTCACACACACACACTAATTGACAAAATAAACTTCTCTTTGGAGCTTGAAACTAATGGTTTTGAGAGCTGAAAACTACTCTGACTTTATGACATTATCTAGAGGTGAGCTGGTTTGAATTTGTGTACAGCAAGTCATTTCCATGGTTCTGCCGTCTATCTTGTTACCATCAATGGAACACTGTGTACATTGCTAGACCTGATTACGCATTCAGTCGCATAATAGCCAGGGGGCTGTATCTCATTACTCATTACTATAAAAATAGTAGCAAATGGGTTAAAGCCATTCAGCTGTCTAACTTGTTCTTATCATTGCTCTAAGGTTGACATATTGTTGATAGGATTGTCAGTTTCCTGTGTACTTATTTTTTTTACAGAGCTTATGGTGAAGCAGTTGAAAGACGAGTAAAGGAACAAAACATAATAACAGCTGTATCTGTCATACCAGAGGGCAGGACTGCCCCACAGATGGTAGAGGAACTGACTGCTAGAGATGGTTTATTTGCTATTTTCATCAATCCCCAGAATGAGATTCATCGCTCACTCACACTTAACATTCTACATGGTGTCCCACAAGGTAATTTCAATGATAGAGTAGTACCTGCATATTTTCGATAGTTGCTATGAGCTGAGTTATCCATTAATTTTGCTGTTCTTACTGACACGGGTTTCAAGCCTATTTTTTATGAACTTAAAATGAAAGATGCTTTAAATACTTTTTCATCTCGCCCGTCTTTTGCCAACGCAATTGTTTTTCTTGGCACTTGTGTGCAAATTAAGCCGTCTTAAATGCATGCACTTAGGCAAAATTTTACACAATTACGTAGTTTTTGGTAACGTTGGCGGAATTTACCCAAAACTTGAACGTTTTTTCTAGAATTGCAACCCTCATCATTGTTGTTTTATAGAGACTATTCCGTTAAAAAGATTGCAATCTTCTGTCCACGGAGAAGGAAAAAATTTACTTTCGTTTACTGTATTTCCCTAGAATTTCGTTCTCACATCCGCATTGCAAATTTATGCTGCTGAATTAAACCTGTCTGCCGCCGAATTAAACCTATCTGCCGCCGAATACTCTTTACGTATTTTGTTCAACTTATACTAAACTTTCATAACCATCACCTAATCATCTTACTATAAACAAATCATTCTCCAATTATCTTTGTGTGTGCATATGTTACATTATTCATTACATCTTTCATTATAAACAAATATCACTTCAATTTGAGACAATAAAATTTGTTTTTTTTTTTTTTCTTTTTTTTTTTTTTTTTTTAAATTTTTTTTTAAGGGTAGATCTAGCTTTTCCTTTTCTTAAATTTAAAAAAAAATATATTTCTTTCTGTCTGAACTTTGGTAATATAAATAATGTACTTGGACTAATCAAATGAGAAATTAAAGTTTTTGTGGTACAAATAATCAGAAGCTGAGGAATGGGGTTAATGTGGGTGCTAATTTTAAATGCTTTTATTTTTCACTCGGAGGGAAGGAGAGGGGGGCGGGGTGTATTTCATTACACAATCCAGGGTTTTTACGTTTCGTCCGATGTAGCTTTAGTTCGTTAGGCGCCGTTTTCAACAAATAAGGTTTATCGCTTTTTTGTGGCAAAACATTTGACTTGTAACCGCTGTGTCAATAAGAAATTCATCATGAACTTTATCGAGAAGACATTAGTTTGTCCGTTCGTGCCGTGTCTTATAAAAACAGCCATTGCTGTGACCAAACAAGCAGGAGAGTTAGCAAAGTAGGTAATACTTATTCAGAATAGTCATCTTTTCTATATTAAATTTTAATCCAAAGTGATGGAGGGTGTTTCGATATGTGTGCATCATTATAAAAAAAACAACAAAATGATTCTCTATTATCAGAAAAAATGTAATCACTGCATAGCTGTAGCGTGTTCCTGTTCAGTCTTACCCAGCTGGAGCAGTATGAAACGTCTTTTCACCAAGACAGACAAAAGACATTGCACATGAGGAAAAAAATCGTTTAAATAAAAATATAAAGATCATATTGATATTTATGTCCCTTTATATGTGAATTTGATGTTTTATTTATATCTGATGTTTTGTCTCCCCCAACCACACAGAACACAGGAATATGCCGCTAGACGATGCTATAGCTTTGGTTGGTCGCAGTTTTGAGAAATACGTTGAAGGTTTACGGGAAAAAGCTAAAGCTGCATCTGTTCCTTTGACAACAGCGGTAGCCCCAATTTCAGCTCGTGTTTTTCTGCCAGCATCAGCAGAAGTTGCATACCTGCTTAATCTGTTGGCAGACAATCGTGCTCTAACAGTAGATGAGCTCAACACTGTCATTAAATATCTACAAGAGCGAAGAGACAAGTTAATCGATGCTGAGAGCCGGCCCATTGTCACAGATGGTAAGTATATGTAGTAGAATTAACTCTGAAATTTACAGCTTCATGTGTTGCTAAAAATACAATCTAAATTCACTCTGAATTTAAGATATATCTCAGAGTTGTATATCACATAGAATTAAGCAGGATGCTTCAGGCTATAGAGTTTGAAAAAACTAGTTATAAAATTAATAATGTAAATAACGTTTGAAATCTCAATTGTCCGAACAACTGATACAAAGTGCTAGGAATAAACCTATTTTATAAGTCCTCGTTCCCACTGCACTGTTCATTTCCACTTGTCCCCGCTTGCTGCTTATTTTACATTGTTTTCATGGCTGATGTGACCTTTTCATGTGCCTTTCAAAATGTCTCTCCCCAAGTCATCCCAGGCTTTCCTTAACACCTTTTTTAAAAGTGCGTCAAAACAGTCACAAGCGCACCATTTAACAGAAATCCATAATATAAATCGTTACAACTGCTGTGATAAGCCTAGGTTATGTCTGGCAAACAGAATGTATCATTTCCATTAGGGTTGAATTTTATAAATCCCCCCTCCCCTCAAATTTTTTCGTAATGTGAAAAGAAATAAACTTACAAAATATGGATGTATTCTAATATTTACAGGTAGCTCAACATGGACATAGTTTATCAATATGCTTTATTTTCCTGTATTATCTTATAATATTAACTTGAACATCAAAATTTACAATATACTGTAAAAATTCTTCAAAGGCATGTCCTATTGCTGTTAACAGTTACTTCAGAAGTTAATTATAAACATTTTTTACTCAAAAACCGTGGCCAAAAATTTCACAATTAATCATTGCAGCCACCTCTGCCTGTCCAGTTCCATTTGGCAATTTTGCCACCCCAAACATCATTGTTACATCTCCAGACACCAGAACAGTCCATCAATGAGCTCCTTCCAAATTAAAGCAGACAATATTTTTCAGTCTCAGCGTACAGTTAATAGACAGTTTGGAACAAATAATGCCTGAATCTCTTAATCTAATACAGTGGTTCTTAACCTTTTTGGAGGTACCGAACCCCACCAGTTTCATATGCACATTCACCGAACCCTTCTTAATAGGAAAAAATTTCTTTTCTGATTTTTTTTTGGACCTCCGCCGAACCCCTGAGACTTACATTCCTGTCAAAGACTGTGGTTCTGTCCAATGCAGTTGCTAAACATGGACTGATAAAATTGGAATGCCTGCTTTGCTTTGATTGACAAAGAATCTATTGCAGATCTCGGAGTCCTCATAAGCATTGCTACTGGTTTCAGTTTCACTTAAACTGCCTCTGCTGAACTGAAAAACCCTCTGCCAGTATGTATTTTGCATCCTGCTGATCTACCCCGACAGCTACATGTGAAATACATATAAATATTGAACCAGCAGTTATCAAGATGTTTGAACAGAAGGCTAGACAAGCAAGATCCAATTAATAAAAAACATGGTTGAAAAATGAAGACCAAACCATTGTTTTAATTAGCGACGTTGTTAAACCCCGCCCCAGTCATTTGTGACAATAGGTCATACCATGAGAAAACCCAAGCTTGGAAACAAATTGGTAATTGACTTTACTCCACTGGGAGTTAAAAAGGCAAAGAAGGAGAATATATTAAATTTACAAGGACCATAAAATTTATATTTAAAACCCTTCCTAATTCTACTTCATACATATATTTCAATGTCTCTGTCATTAGAGAATTTTTATGTCAGTGCACATACATTTCCAGCATTTAAATCTAGTCACTGACTGCAACGTTCCATTAACTCCTCTTCTGTGTATTGGCTGTTCCTGGTGGGAGCTGGCTGCCAGGTCAGCTTTCTTTTTTACAGATCCTACTTTACTGTTCTGTGTAATGTTTCTTTGGGACTTGAGCATTTATGTTTTTCCTGGGATGTCCATCTGAATGCTGTCCTGGGAAATGAGCTTGATGCCATACCACAGACATTACCAAGCTAATGCTCATGAAGCGTCTCAGTTCTTCATTGCAGATTGTAATTAGTATGAAGATTCTACAGAATTGTGATCCTTCATAGACAAACTAGGCATTTGGTCTAGAAAGCATCAAGCTTTTGTTCTAATTTGCAAGGGGTCTTCCAACAATCGTCAGTAGTTAAGTTAGTTAAAAGTTTGTCACAACTAACACCCTCAGTGAATTACTAACAAAGCTATAGGATAGACATAACAATAGGTTTCTGGCTTTTCATCTGCCCCAAAACAAGATGGCTACCCTCATTACAATAGCCTTTGTGATGTGAGCTTCACTCTAAAGCAATAATCTACTCTTGAGTGAAGCTATCTCACACATAACAGATTTAATGAGCTTGACAGATACCAAAGAGATGACACATTTTTTCAGCAGAATGTCATCCTGTATCAGGTCTACAGTAATATAAAGGCATAAAAAGCATTGCCAACTTGTTAGGTTAATTGTGTTTATGTTGTGTATGTAAAAATGCTGTTCTTTTTATTTTATGTTAATTTTAAAAAATGTAATGGCCAACTAATTGTCTTCTAATCTATACATGAAACATGCATTTTTTTAAACTGATTCCGTACCAAATGACATCACCAAGTTTAAAGTTATTATTTCTTTCTTTCATCTTGATTATACTGGTCAATGTCAAATAAACTCAGCAATTGTTGATCTTAACTTAAACATTAAATTATATTCCTACAGATGGTCTTATCAGGCCAGTGACCACCCAGCGTTCAGAAATCAGCGAGGTGACACCTGCTCCAGGCGGTAGTGGTAACAAAGATTTGCTGACCGTACAACAGGATCTCAAAAATAAAATTCTCAGCATTTTCAGTAATGCAGGTGGAAGCGTCCAGGGGGTTCCCCCAGCTAACGGTGCTAATCAGCAGTTTCCTTCTGGAACCCCGGCACCACCTCCCCCTCCACCCCCGGCTCCTCCCACCTCCAGTGCCAGTCTTATAAACTTTGACAACCCCAATGTCCAGAAGGCTTTGGATAATCTCATACAGAGCAGTCCCAATTTACTAAAGAATTTCTCCACCAAAGTATCTGTGTCTGCACCTATGATGGGGGTCCAAAGTGTGACCAGCAGCCTGGGCACTGGAGGACCAGGTGCCTTTGGACAAGCTGGTGGGATGGTACCAGGTTTTTTACAGGGCAACCAGCCCCAAGGTGGACCAAATAGGATGCAAGTTGGAGGATATGGGGACATGCAGGGCCAGCACCAAGGATTTAACATGCAGGGAATGGGGGGAGGGCAAGGAAACATGGGTGCTCAAGGACCACCTAGATTTTAACTTTTTGCGAGAAGTGACATAGGCAGTCTATTCTTTTACAGTAAATCTTTTAACTGTATACCCTTATAAATAGAGATATCTCTAAAATACAATCACAGATATTGTAAACCTTTTTTACAAGCAAGGCCTATGTGAGGATATCTTTGTGGTATAATACATTTGATTCAGAGGCGCAATCTTCCCTCTCATGGTGGCCATTGTGTTGTTTGACAAAGTGACATTGTTAGAATTTGAGTATTGTCATTAAATTCATGTAAATATTCAAGTGTACGTTTTTTGTTCTTTCAATTATTCATTTTTATAATCAATTTTAAATGTAATTTTTAACTTAAATACCCATAATGGTTAAATATTAGTCAGTCAGTTAAAATCACTTCTTTTGTTTTGACCTCTAATTATCTATGTTTTAAATCTTGAAATTAAAAAAAAAAATTTAGACAAAATTACCCATTTTTGATGGATAGGTGGCTAACAGCTAATAATGAACAATTCCAAATATTTAAAGAGAGCATTAAATCTTATCCTCTGTGTTGTAATGGATGGAGTGTTGAAACATTAAAAACCACTCATAACTTTGGTGTTGGTAAGTGCCACAGGTTTAGGTAACCAATCGTTCTTATAAAAATATATATATAAATTTTAAAAAGATTGCTTTTATTACGCATGGTGACATGGACGTGAGTTTTAGGAGTGACTGTTCATTAAGTTAATAAACACTTTCTCTTAGCTTTTCACTCTTGTCTAGCTGCCTGTTAAATCTCTAACTCTCAAGTTGTTCACCTCAGTACAGAAGTTTCAAAAAAGCTTATCTGAAGGGGCAATTTGATGGCCCAGGTCCCTGAATAATTATGGAGACATGAATTCTGTTAATGTAAATAAGTGTTATTAAATTACCTGCCTTGGTTTATACCCTTCAATTACTTTTTCTGTTTAGTTTTTAAAAAAAAAACTATTTAAGATGAGTGACTAAACACTGTTCAAAGATTTAAGAAGTTAGTTGTAGAGTGAACTACATTCCTCTACTTGGCATTGCAATATGATGGGCTGCACCTTATGATATGAACACAAATCATTGTTTTTAATAGCTGTAACATTTACTACAGCTGGCTTCCGTACGGCTTCAGAAGTACCTTTTACTTTATTTAACTAGAGCTAAGGAATCAAACGAGTGTTCAGTGGTTTAAAACATCATGAAAGGTCCCTTCCTACTATGGAAAAAATAAACTGCATGTTAATGATTGGCTTAAGACATCACGCAAACGTTGGTCGGCTTAAGCCTAACCCATCGTATTAGTCTCAGTTGGCTTGAGACATGATACACTTGTCTAGTTCTACTGCAGAAAAAATATTTACTAAATTAAATTATTATTACTGATATTAAATGTTGATTCAATTTTTAAAAGTCTGATATTAGGTGCAACTTTGAGGGTACAACTTAAAAATGCAGACAATGATTGATATTTCATGGGAAAGTAAGATGTAAAAAAAAAATTAAGTAAATTGAATCAGATTTAATGTCCTTTTTTTTTGTACCTGGTACTGTAATTGATCAAGAATGTGAAGTCACTGAGCAACTCATAGGCAGGGTCATTGGCTTTAAATAACTAGAACCAAGTCTATGTGTATTGGTGTAGGTATTTCATTCCTATGCCGTTGTCCTGACTACACAAGGTGTAACATGTATCATGAGATGTTATGTGAGATCCATACTGATGTTCATTTACTGGATTACCGTACATATTTAATCAATGGCGCATACAGCTTGCAATTCTGGTAGCTTTTTATATTTGTGACAGATTAAATAGGTTGATTATTGAAATTTAATGTTCAATTTATATGAAATTGAAAGAAAAATCAACTTCTTTCTATTTTCACAAAATATTGTGTTTTTAAAAAAATATTGTTAGTGTATTGAAATAAAGATGTTGAACTAACTGTGTGTTTATGAAGTGTTGGCATGCTGTTTTTGTCCTTGGTTGGAGATGAAACTAATTATGTTGTTGGCGGTAGTGTGTAGACTCCACCATTTCAAATCAGACATTTTCTGGACCGAATTTTAATAGGCTTCAGGGAAATTTTTGTTGTCAATGTCAAATTTAAGAATGATACAGATTAAATAGCTAATACATTCCCATTCCATGAGATGGAGACACACACACCCCACCCCCAAATTATTTTTTTTCCACCTCTCCCAGTATTATTTGAGATCATCATCAACAAACTAGAATAACTCACAAACCAATCAACTCATAATCTCCATACCCTCCCAATGACCATTATCCCTCCTGTTTAGTGACCTATTGGAAAATACAAGAATGTCATTGTTATACTTGTATCAACTTCTCCTGACAATTGGGTCCTACAACTCTCTTATTATCATCTTTCACGTCAATATATTTATTTAGCTAATAATAATAAGGATCATAAATCTCTTAATGCAATAAAATGTGTTTGTTTTGTGTCCTCTTACAATTTGTCTGTTTTAATGGTTAAAAAAAAATGCATGCCCTGGATTACTTGAGAGGTCAGTGTCAACATGAGGATCCTTGTATTATGAATGATGTACTAGAGATAGCAGGACTCTGCATTAAGATAATCACTGAGTGGAGGTTATATGTTTAGTGTCTGTAGGCTACTCTAATAATCAGTACCGGTAATGTAACTGGACTGGGGTGAGGAGGGGGGGGGGTGTAATTTACTTGTGAACTATAGGGTATTTTTCTATTAATTTTGAATGATGGCACACAAATCAGAGCTTTGGTAGAGTAGTAGTAGTAATTTCAAAGTTCAATTTTGCCACTGTTTATTCAGTGGATACTTCATTATCCTTGTAATATACGGGTGCTAGTTATACAGTACTAAACTCACAGAGGATGATCAATGATTTAAAAGATAAAATTTGACTTAAGTCTAGGTGGAGACAAATGACATTTTATTTAACACAAACTTGAAACTATTTGTTTTGTGTACATGGGCACATAAAGTAAATTAAACTTATTTGGAGTCCTGCCTCTCATTCTTTAATCTCAGATGTTACATATTTCTTAAACATGAAATGATTGGTGATTTTGGCCAGTGGGTCACAAATAGGGCAGCACAATGTTCTGTTACACTGTAAGTTACAGATTGTTGTTGGAACACAGGTTTGCTTTCAGGTTTGATAAGCAGATCTGTAGGAAGTTGTCCAGAGAATGAAACGTTTTGTTAGCAATGCTTGTTTTTTTAATGTTATTATTTTAAAAATTACCTTCACTCACAGCATCTTCATTGATGTCGTAAGAATTTAAAGAAAACAGTGAATGTGGAGCCACTAAACTGAATGGAAATTACATACAATATGTCTCAATAGAAACCACATACACTCGCCAGATGCAGGTATTTTACAGAAATTTTCCATATTTAAATTTTAAAGGTAAAACTTTTTCTTAAACATGTTTTTTTATCATCATTAATGATTTAAACGGGTAGGATATACTAAATTACTCTTCTTTGATAACCTTGGTTCATTTACTATTGTAAAATAAACTAGGCTGATGCTACTGGCCAATGGATTCATTTATGTTCAAAAAAACTTTTCCAACAAAGATATGTTTGCACGTTTTTTCTCTAGATCTTGGGCTTTTCATCATCACTGTTCTTAAACAAAAGCAGAATGATTTTCACATGGCCTTAGTGTGTACAAGATATGTCATAAGTGCACCTATTTGGTAAAAGACTCACATTGAGAGGCTAAATCTGAATCTTCTTAATTGTTTAAAATCTTAAACTTTAAATCATTTTTAAAAAATTGGATTATCAGTACATGTAACGTGGACATTTGGAAGCAACAATTTCACCTTGTTGATTACATCATGATAGGAATTGGGAGACAACTTTTGTGATGTACGTCCATGTCTTTTTTGGTATATGAGTGGTGGAGACCACACTATTTTTGTAAAACGTTATAGTTATAGCTCCGGTATTTGTTTACTAGGTACAGAAAATCAGCTTATCAAGGCTGAATATAAATTTGTCAGAACGAAATGATGCCGCAATTATATATATAGACAATAATTTATTATTATCTCATTTTTTCCTATAGTAATGTGGATAATTATAAATGTATTGTAAATCCACACACATACACCGTCTAGAAGAACTGGTATTAAACTGTTCCGCAAAATAGGCTAGATATGAAATACCAGTATGACACACAGTATATGGAAAATCACTAAACTAAAAACAGATGGTTCAACTGAAAAGCATTCGAGCTCAAACAAAGAGGGACAGCATTAAAGATAAACTTGGTACTGGGTACCATTACCAAGATATATTTTGTAATTGAGAACAATACTAGTAACCTCTAATTGAAATAAAGGTCGCTTATCAGTTTATTTTTGTCTCTCCCATCTACAGTATGATTTGAACAGAGCAAATATAGAGTCTTAAAGAAAACTGATTGCTCTGTTTTTCATTCAAGCTGCAGTAAGTGAAACTGGATAGTTTTTACAAATATAATGGAAATTGGGATGGAACCATCATAATTAGGGTAAAATAATTCATATTAAATTCTGGCTTAGCGAGTTTCAGATGCATTGTAAAGATTAAAATCTATCTAATTATTGCTGACACTTAATTAAATTCAATAATTTAGGTCAATTATGATGGCAAGGCTTATCATTGGGATAAATAGAGCTGACAACATGACTAGTTCCAACATTCATGTTCTTGTACTTCTACACATTTTATTATCTCCAAAAGCTGATTTGATCTATCCATTCATCAGGTGACTGCATGGTTCCTCAAGCGATTACCTGCACAACCTGACATGTGGCCAGAGGAACACTGGATGCTGTAATTATCCCTTCAACTTCAATGTATGTTTGTTTAAAGGCATTGCAGTCATTATTTACTTGGAATCCTCAGTGTCTGTACCTTCAATAGGATGAGAGAAAAAAACTGCTGACTTTCAGTGTCATTGCAATTTGGTGTGTGCAAACTGCCATGAAGTCATGAAGTAAAAGCAGAGTAAGTTATCCCAAAAAAATGTCAGGGTTCACCCTTCTTCTTCTTCTATATCTTAAGGGGGCCCACGATCAATTCATTGATCATTTTGGCTCCTATAGACTTCTTTAGGGACTGCCACTGCATCTTTAGGGACTGCCACTGCATCTTTAGGGACTGCCACTGCATCTTTAGGGACTGCCACTGCATCTTTAGGGACTGCCACTGCATCTTTAGG